CGTTGGCCGCAAAAGTGACGCCATTGGGAAGAGTGGGTCAACCCCTAGACATCGCCCGTGCGGTCGCATTCCTGGCCTCCACTGACGCCCACTTTATTACCGGCGCTAATGTTGTGGTCGACGGCGGACTCGTATATAATGCCGGTGTTATAAATACATTATAATCTGTATATACTGTATAACAAGATTTTTGGAAAGAATATAATTGAAACATGTATTAATTGATATCAATAGTTAATTACGTAATTTATAATTCCACTATTTTTGTGTAAAATTTGGTATATAAATAAAAATTGTTACTTTAGAAATTATCTGTATACTTTATTTATTACAATTGAAATATTCAAGATCATTAGTATTAATTAATCGGTATTTTATTATCTAAAAATTAGCAAATTTAATTTATTAAACCATAATATATTATATTAATTAAAAAGTTAAATTCTATTTATAGTAAATAAGTTGCAAAATTATATAAATATTTAAAATAAACTGTTTTAAAACAATATTAATACCGGGTGCACCAAATCAATCGTGGTTTTTATTATAAATTCAAAATTGTCGGTCTAACCAGATTGTGGATTAATTTGCTTTTTATACGTATATAAAGTATTATTTATAGATAGATAAATCAGATGTGACAATAAAGCAGGTAATTAATGTAGAATTGGTTATCAGTAAAGTCTGTAAAGCACTATTGTTGTCAATAAGGTAAATTAATATTATATTATTAACTTCATTGTATTAGTAAAGTGCAAAACATTAAAATGTCACAATGTGATTAAATCATCTATATTAGAATTATTAAGTTTTATTAAAGTGTGCACTTGACATTTAACAATAATATCGTTTAATTCGCGATTAGTGCAAAAGATATCTCTATATAAACACTGAATATATTTACTGGAGTTTAATAATATCAAACTATTATAATATTATATTCAATTTTGTATTTTATAACTTATATCATTTTAACACAACTTATAAATATGAAATTATTATTAGTATTGTTGTGTGGATTGGTTTGTATTGTGAGCGCAGACTATCCTATAGAAGACTATAAAGCGGTCGCAAAATCCCGGGACTTTACGGGTAGTGTAGTTGTAGTGACCGGTTCCTCGTCGGGCATCGGAGAGGGAATCGTTAAACTGTTTTCAATATTAGGGGCTAATGTTGTGGTCACCGGAACGACAGCTACTAAAGTTCAACGAGTGGCCAAAGAGGTACAGGAGTTGTCACCACTAAAATTAAAGGTATAAATTATTTGATCATAAATTATATTAGAAATAAATTACTGATAAAAATTCAATGATTTTATTGACAGCCATTAGAAGTTGTGGGAGATTTGACTAAAACCTCTGATATAAACATTTTAATCGATTCTACGGTCAAAACATTTGGCAAAATTGATGTATTGGTCAATAACGCCGGTATATATAAACTAGCAAACATAACATCACCGGATCTGTTATTAGTTTGGGATCAGATATTTGCCGTCAATTTACGCGATGTCGTAGAACTCATCCACCGATCGGTTCCACATCTGGAGAAGACTAACGGAACTATTATTGATATTTCAAGTGTCTCCGCAATCGCACCGGTATTTACTAATAATTGTCTATAATAACAGATTTAATACTAAACTAATTGTCTGATAACAGGAATTTTATAAAACATTGTGATTACATTTTAATAGTTTATCATTCAGTTATACGTCTAGTTTAAGTATTAATTAAAAACATTACTGTTATAATAATATTTATTACCATGTTAAATATACAATTAAATATATGTGTGACATTATTTTAGGTTAAAATGTTCGGACCGGCTTTGCCAGCGGCTAAAGCGGGTATAAATATGTTGACCGAAATATTGGCTTTAGAATTGGGACCCAAAGGTATTCGTGTCAATGCTATTAAGTATGTTGTTTTATCATTAATTATAATATTCTCTCTCTCTCTCTCTCTCTCTCTCTCTCTCAC